GACAGTGTGAACTGAGCCAGACGCAGAAGAATAGATACCGTATGATTGAACACAGACGAGGTGTCTGGAATAGGTGAAGGTTACCAGGAGCTGGGAGAGGGAGATAGGGAGCTATTTGTCAAGGAGGAGGGGTGGCGTACCAGGGATTGAACCTGGGGGCACTCAACCACTGAGCCCCATCCCCAGCCCTATTTTGAATTTTGTTTAGAAATAGGGCCTCACTGAGTTGCATAGAGCCTCACGGTTGCTGAGGCTGGCTTTGAACTCATGATCCTCCTGTCTCAGCCTCCCAAGCCACTGGGATTACAGGCGGGCACCACCGCACCCCAGTGAGCTATTATTTAACGGGGACAGAATTTCAGTTTGGGATGATGGTGAAACAGGTTGAGGGATGGATGGTGGTGGCTGCTGCCTTCGTTCTACCCTCAACGTGGTTAAGATGGTAAATTTTATGTTACGTCTGTCTTAACGCCATAAAAACTTTATCTCAAAGAAGAAAAAAGACTAACACCAAACATGAGTTTTCTCACCACCCACCCACCCCTCCCAAATTTCTGACCCCATTGTTTTTTGTCCTCTACTCCTCAGTTTAATTTATTTGGAGGTTGTCTGCTACTGAGTTACTCATCCATTGGAAATGATAATACACCTGTGAAATAAAAATGATTATACGTTAAGGAATAACACTTATTGATAATTAAGTGTTTCATTGCTTCCTTGCTTCCCCAAATGGAATAAATAAATATTTTAGACATAATCAAGTTTGTTTTCTCCCTTCAGACCTAACAGAGAGGGATGTTGAGATGATATAGATCTTTTAAATCCCATGGACGAATCTTGACATCACTGAATTGTTCTGCATCGAGGGCGGATTGGGCCTGAAATCCAGGCTTTCGCCTTTAGTCAGGAGAATCATTTTTGTGATATTCACATTTTGAGTTGTGGGGGACTGGGGAAGGGACGGGCAGGGAGAGTATGGGAATCAGAATCTGAAATTCTGGGAGGAGGCCTGCGCCCGCCCCCACAACCCTCTGCATTTTAGTTCCTGTCCCTCAGCTCAGCTGCCCTCCCTCCTGTCTGGGTGTGGTAGCAGAGGAGGAAGTTTGGCAGCAAAGAGTTCTAAACTGTAGGGGCTGGGGGTCCCGTGCTTTGCACTGTAGGCCGGGAAGGAGTTGGATGGAGCACAGAAGCAGCATCCAGGACAGGGAGCTCAGCCTTGGGCCCCATGGTGGCCTGACAAACCTGGCCTCTCTCCCAGGGTCAAGTGTGTCTCAGGCCAGGCTGTCCTCTGGCCTGCAGAGTGAGTGGTGTCTTTCTCCGGCCCTGACTTCATTTTCTGTCCCCATCACACATCCACACGCCTGCCTTCTGTCCAGAGCGGCATAATTGGTGGGTCAGCTGGAGGGGGTGGCGCATGACCMGCCTCTTTGGGGGCAGCTGAAACCTGTAACCTCACCGCACCAGGGTTCTGTGGCTGCCACAACAAATGACCACTTGCTGCTCAAAAGAGAGAAATAGATGCTCACCGTTCTGGAGGTTGAGGCTGTCCTCCCTCCAAAAACTGTGGGAGACCATCTCTCCTGGCCTCTTCTGGTGTCTGGTGGCTCCAGCTCTTTCTGAGTCTGTGGCTGCATCACCCCATTCTGGCCTATGTCTGCCTTCGCACGCCCTTCTTTTCTGAGTCTCAAATCTCCCTCTCCTGTCTCTTGTGAGGACACCTGTCATTTAAATTAGGGTCCACCCTAAATCCAGGATAATCTCTTCTCAGGATCCTTAACTTAGTTACATTTGCAAGAACCCTTTTTCCAAGTAAGGTCACATTCGTGCTTGCCAGGGATTAGGACATGGATCTCTATCTGGAGGGCCACATTCCAGCCTCTACACTCACCCTGATTAGCAGTGAGATCCCTGAAAAACTGGTCCACTTGGCCTTGTTTTATTTGCAAGATACCTGGGTTTGGGACTAGGCCTGAGGGGTGGCTTTCAAAGACAGATGCAGTCCATGGGCTAGAAGTGAGGGACACATCAGAAAGTGAGGTCCATCCTAGGAAAGGCTTTCTCCGAGGGATGCTCTGACTCAAGTTTGCTGGGTTGTTTTGTTGAAGTTGTTTCCAGTACTGGGGATTGAACCCAGGCTGCTCTCCCACTGAGCTATGCCCCCAGCCCTTTTATTTTTTTATTTTGAAACAGGGTCTTGGTAAATTGCTCAGGCTAGCCATGAACTTGTGATCCCCCTGCCTTGGCTTCCCGAGTTGGCTGGGGTTACAGGTGTGCAACACAGCACCCGGCTTGAAGCGAGCCTTTTAAAGAGTGAACTGCTCAAGAAGAATCACGTTGCTCTGTGTGTCCCCAACAGCACTTGGCACAGAAGTGGGCCAGGTAGTGCAGGAGGAGGAAGGCTCCATCAATTTGGAGGCAAAGCAGTGACTCGAGTGGATTGGCAAGACACCCTGTCCCTGGAGGCACAGAAATGGGTCCGCCAGCCATTCACTCAGCACAGTGTGTTAGGGGCCTGGGACCCAAGAAGAGGCACCAGCCCTGCCCTTGCCCAGGGCTTGAGTTAGTGCTGGCTCTTCTTGTACCCTCTGCAGAGCTGCCCCTGTTCCCCACAGAGGACGAGAGTCTTCACCCCTTCTCCTAGGGCTAGTTAGGATCTGAGCTCCAGGAGGAAGGGGCTTAACCAAAGAGATGCAGGGAAGGGCACCCTCCCTGGGTGGACTTCTAACCTGATGGTCTTAAGGCCCCTACCACCCAGTTTTCCTGAAACAAACCCCGGAGGGGTTGCTGAGCATCATTCAGAACCTTCAAAGGAAGCAGGGGAGCAGACACATGACAGCAAAAGAAATGCTGTGGGCGCTGCCTTTGGGTGTGGGACGCATCCAAAGGCCAAGAAAAACCGCCCAGAGAGGGCTCTGTTTCTCTCCAGGGACCTGGTTGAGGAGGGCAGTGGGCGTGAACCTGGAGAAAGGTTCATTTCATATAACCCCATTGTGTATCTCCTGCCTGCCTCAGACCTCAGAGGTAACAGAGGACCCACCTTTTACCAGTGATGCTGGGTGAAATTTGTCCTCTTTGAGCCCCTATAGTGAATGCCTGTGTCTTCCTTATGGAAGGTCAGGTGTCCATCTTGTGTGTGACATGAGCTGGGCTGTGTGCCCTGGGAGCACTGGCCCAGTGTTTGGTGGGTAGTAACCACTGGCGCACACTGAAGGTCCTGACTACCTTTGGGTGGTGGTCCCAGCCTTCTGTTTTACTGGAGATTGTTTGAGAGCAGAGAGTGCTCATCTTTTCCTGAAGAAACTTGAAGAGTCTGCAAGAACTGTGTGTAAGGGCTCTGTGTATCAGCACCTCGTATTCCTGACAAGGTGTGGTGGAGTTGGATATGTGAGCCAGAAGGGACTTGGGAGAAGCGTTCTCCACCTTGGGTACCAGGTTGAGTGGGAAGCATCTGTTTTTCTCGTGGATAGAAAGCACTATGAGCATAATACAAAAAGTCATTCTGATTTTTTTTTTCTTCCTGTTTGGTGTGTCCAGCATTGCATTCAGCCAGATTTGGAACCTTGGGGAGGACAGTGTCTTGTGGGGGCTGCTATATGAGAGGACCCCGGCTTACCAACAGCACGAGTTTCCCAGTAGTTCAAGAGGCTGGAACTCCAAGATCAGGGACCAACATGGCTGGTTCTGGCGAGGGCTCACTTCCTGGCTTAGAGAAGACCGCTCTCTTGAGCCTCCCTTGGCAGACAGAAAGCTAGCTCCCTCATGGCTTTTGATAAGGACACTAAGCTTCTTTGTGAGGGCTCCATCCTCATGTCCTTATGATGGAATCAATTGGCAAAGGCCCCACCTTCTGACACTGTGGCACTGGGAAGTAGTGCCACATATGGACCAGGGGATAGGGAGGGACAGGCATATGGACAAGAGCACATTCAGTCCCTAGCAGAGAGCCGAATGTGTGGGCACCTCCTGTCCAGTCCCACCACCTAAATTTGCAGGTGCATAATGCGAGGCTCAGAGGGGAAGGGGCTCTCCAGGTTATCCAGAGACAAGATGCACAGTCGCAGCTGGAACCCAGGCCCTCTGGCTCCCTGGTGCGCCTGCACCTCTGCCTGGTTCCCTTCCCCATGTTGGTGCCAGCACTGCGCATATTCCATCCCATGCAGGGTGTGCCCCTCGTGCGGGTCTATGTGGGACCGCGGTGCTTACTGAGTCGGGTCACAGCTGCGGCCACATGCAGGAAAAGCGGTCGGGGGTGGGAAGAGAAAAAAGGAAGGGGCAGGAGGGTGGAGAGAGACTCTCAGGATGCTGAGCCGCGGTCGCCTGCCAAAATTCTTCAGTGCAGCTTGTCTAGCAAAGCCGGTCTCCAGCCGAGTAAATACAGTGGATAGCTGACGGCTGACAGCAGGCATCAAATAGCCTTAAACTGCCCCAAATCCGCAGCGCTTTTGAAGCGGCAGTAGAAAAAGGATGCCTGCGCAGAACAGAGGCCTGCAACTTTTAATAGTTTCTTCCAGGCCTCAGGATGTCCTGATGAGGTATTAGAGGAAGTAATTCAGGAAGAAAAGGACAAATAACCGCCTCCGTCTGGAGGCCGACCCGAGGGCTGACCATTCCAGCTCCCGGAAAGGGCCAGCGTGGCCCCGCAGTGATCCGCGAGGCTGCCGTTCGCCCACCCGCCTGCCTCTGCGCACAGAGCCGCAGGGCTCTGACCCTCGTAAATAACAGACAAGTCAATTTCGTGTTTGCTTCTGGGCAAATGTAAACCAMACAGTGCCCGCTGCATGTGGGTGAAATCATTAACTTTTCCTCGCTGTTGGAAGGGAGCTGGGTACAAATTAGAATCCTTGCCTGGACTTCAAGGTCCTCCCAGGGACCCCGCCCACCCACCCCATCAGGAGCCTATCCTGACTGCAGGCTGTCAAGAGAAACCCCCCCCCCCAGGGCCTGCCCAGCCCAACTCACCCCACCTCTCTTGTTTTCTCTCTTCCTTCTTTTCCCTTCAGGGTTTGGCTTCGTCACTTTTGAGAATGAAGATGTTGTGGAGAAAGTCTGTGAGATTCATTTCCATGAAATCAATAATAAAATGGTAAGTCTGGGGGGATTGCTGTGATACGGGACACCCCTTCCCCAGCGCACACCGCTTGCCACCTGGCTGCACCCCACATCGTGTGCAGGCTAGGCAGGGGTGGGCACAAGGTCTGGCTAGAGTCTCAGGATTCAGCTCTGTGCGTGATGGCCATGGTTTAGCTCAGGGATGGATGTGCTCTTCTATAAAGGGCCAAATGGTGTTTTCAGCTCTGCAGCCACACAGCCGACTCTTAGAACTAATCACTCCTGAGTCATGGCACAGAAGCATCCATTGGCTGTATATCCCGTGAATAAGTGGAGCTGTGTTTCAATAAAGCTTTGTTTATAGATTTGGGTTTCATGGAAGTTTCCTGTGTTACCGTTTTATCTATTTATTTACTTATTCTTTATGTGTACGTGGTGCTGGGGATTGATCCCCTGCCTCACATATGCTAGGCAAGTTCTCTACCACTGATCTACATCCCCAGCCCACCAAATATTATCTTTTTTTTAACCATTTAAAAACATAGAAACCATTTTGACTCTTGGGCCTTGCAAGGACAGACAGGGGCACTGGATGTGGCCTGTGAGTTGTAGTTGGCTGACCCCTGGTTTACAATGTGCTTTCCATGCTAGTCTGTGGAGGAGCATATCCTAGATAGGAAGTTTACCAAACTAGTTCTCTTTGGGCCCAGCTGGGTAATTAACACCCCCTCCCCTGGTGGTCAATTAGACTGTGTCTGCCTTCAGGACCAGCTGCTTCCCTCCTTCCCTCTGGCTCTTTGAAGTTCCTTTTCCTGCCACAGCTGCCTCTTGAGGAGGGAGGAGGTTGGACTATGGGATCTGGGGAGCCAGGTAGGCCTCCCAGAGAAGTGGCCACCAGAGGGCGCCATGCCATGCAGTGTGTGCCTATTTGCTATCTCAGGCTCCTCTCTTCAAGTTGGGTAGGGGGTGAGAAACCCCTTCTTTGTGGGTTCTGGAACAAAATGCCATCCGCAAGTCCTCTGGTGCACCAGCATTTTGGTTGGCCAGCAAAGCTTCCAACCCTCAGAGAAGAGGGAGGGCAAATTCATGTTTCAGTCTCCACTGTAACTTTGATATTTTCTCCCTTTTGTCAAAGCATTCCTTGCTTCTGAAACATACATTTAGATATGAGTTGTATATTGGTCTGATGTGTGTTCACCAACTTTAAATTCAATAATAGAGCTTTTAGTGTGGATAAGATCAAAGCAATCTGCTTAGCATGTGGTGCTACAGGCCTGATTCAATATTTGACTTGCTAATTTTTTCCCAGGGCACTAAAATAATATTGTTCATATTGTTCCTAGCCATCATATGCATCTGAAATGAAAATACTCTTTTCTTTGCATACTGCATGTTGGAGACGTCAGTGCCTGCTTTAAAACAGGACCGAGGAGATAATACCCCTGGTCCCTTTGTAGGCTTTGTCCCTCAGATGCCAATGCCTTTCCATGGTACCTTTCTCTCTCATTAGGTCACTATTTGCTGTTTTTAAGACTAGAGAGACAGAGGACTTAAACCTGTGTGCAGTGCCTGGATGCCTTGTTTATCCTAGCCAGAGCATGCTACTGACAGGCTCCGCTGAAGGCTGCCTGGGCAGCAGGGAATAGAAGGAGCAGCGGAGAGTGCAGGCAGATGCCCTTCCTGTCCTGCCAGGACTTCACGGTTCATCGGGAAAGGCCCAGTGCAGGAAGAACAGCTCTGTGTGCCACCTGGAATGCAAATACAGCCTTTGACTATTGACAGGCTTGGAAATGAGCCTGAGACCCAGACAGGGAAGGACTTTATCCTCCTCACTATTCCAGTGGAGAAACTGAGGCCCCGGCTGCCCAGAGAGTGCAGGACCATAGGTCTTCAGTTTTAGTGTGATAAACTGTACAGTTGTCTGAGTGTGGGGTGAAAGGCAAAGCCTAGGTGACCAAGAGAAGCCAGAGAAGTTTGTGGCCATTTCTTTTCCGCCCACATTAGGTGACTCTTCCACTCAGGTGGGTGTTAAMTTTGGCAGGTGTGAGTAACTGGTGAGTCTGGTGTAAAAGTTTCTGTCTTCTTTTGAATCTGGGGCTAGTACATGCTCTTTAAGAGGTAAGCCAGAAATGGAAGTAGACAAAGAGGAGGAAGCAGGGCAGAGTGACTAGGATCCCGATGCCCAGCCCAGCCCCACCAACTATGGGCCCCAAGGGGGGGAATTTGGAGGTAGGCAACTGGACATAAATAAAGCAGGGCTAGCAACAGTGCCACCTCTTTGGGTCATTGGAGGTGGGAGATGCTATGAACACAGAGTTTTGCATGAAGCCTGTCTCGGGGCACAGGCTTGATGAACATGAGCTCTTGCCATTGTCCAGGTCACCTGTCTCTGAAAGATCTTCCTCCAGCCAGCGCCCCCTCCTCTGAAAAAGGGTGGGATTGAAAGGGGATTGGTAGAGGAGCCTGCATCCTGAGTTGCCTTGAATTCTCTACTGAGACCCAAAAAAAGGAAATGCATTTATACTCTGCTATGGGCAGAATTCAAATGAGAGATCCAGAAAGGCAGAGAACTTGGAGACCACCAGCCAGAAGCCCTGGTGGCTGCTGGAATGTTCGTAGTGTGTTTGGTACGCTGGAAGGTGCTGTGACAATGGAAAGGCCAGTCTCTTACAGCCCTCGCTATCTCCCTGGGTCTCAGAGGAGCTGGCAGGTGGCTGTGCCCCTCTCAGCATCCTGCAGTGGAGGGTATTCTGATATTCCTACTAGGAGAGGTCTCATGGCTGATGAGTCACAGAGGTTGGATTTGAATCCAGATCTTTAATTCAATCATGTGTGCCCAGCACTTGGTAGACGATGAGTAACTGTGGAATGAATAAAGGACTCAGTGAGGGTTCCCATGACAGTGAGGCACGTCATAGCCACTGAAGCCATTTCYAGGCTAATCCCGTTGATAAGTCTCCCAGGCATTTTTAAAACAGAGGGCCTTTCGGTACCATCCAACCAACCAGAGCAGGYCCTAGCGCTCCTGCTTGCTGAGGCCCAGGATAGCTGTCTTCCGGAAGCTGGGATCATAAGACTTCATCCCCTCACTCCCTGTGCAGGCCTCAAGAAGGTGTGAGGTCTCTAGGACGGGGCAGGGGGACGTCCAGAAAGGCCCAACATGTTGCTTTACGTATCTTATTTGATGATCATGTCCATTCTGATGTAGTCATTACCCCTATTTTACAGATAGGGAAGGCAAGGCAGAGAGAGATTGCAAGCTCACATAGTCAGTAAGTGGCAGCCCCAGAATTCAGGGCCCGAAAGCCGTCCTCCAGAGCTCAAGTGTGTATGGCCAGGCCATCCTTCATGTCTGGGCTGAAGGAGACTCTAAAGTTCCTCTTGTTGGCCTCTGGGCCGCCCATGGCCAGTCAGTGTCCTTTCCTTTCCTCCTCAGCCCTATTGTGGCCCAGGTTTTTCCTTGATCTTCTAGAAGAAGGGCAGAGGAGACAAGCTCCCTGGGGGCCCGATTCCTGGCTAGGGAGAAGGGCCAAGTTGGGGGCTGACGGGGTCCCAGTCAGCCACGGATCTCTCAGCCTCTTCCTCCACTGGCACAGAGTCGCCAGTGGCAAGGGACAGGGGCGGGAAGCTACCTGCCACCTGAGCTCAAGGCCCAACCCTGCGAGAGTGAGACTCAGCCCCAGCCAGAGGAAAATGCAAATGTGGCTCTTTATCAATAAACAGGCACAAATGCACTCATGGAGTGATGCTCTGAGAGCGGTCCTCTCTGGCCACTCCGTGAGCCCCATGGCGGGTGCAGCTAATAATGCCTCCCGCCGTTTCCCCCTGATTGAAACAGCCCCTGAGCAGCAGGGACACTTGCTTGATTAGTCGCCAGAGCCCAGCCTTCAGGCAGCTTCCGAGGAGCCGGGCAGCTGCAGGGAGGGAGGTGGGAATTGACAAAGAGCCAGCTCCAGGTTTCCTCAGAGGCCTGGCACGGCCTTCCCCAAAAGGACGTCAGGGAGGTGCCTGGGTAGAGCCTTCTAGACTTGGCTCAGCAGAAGGGATGAGTGTTTAGGAGCCATGCCCTCTCCTGTCTGTCCTCATAGCATCCTGAGCAGGGGTCCTGTTCCCCCYGACTGTGGGACACGAGAGCTCAGAACGAAGAAGGGCCTGCTACAGTGGGACAGTTCTGAGTGGCAGKGCTAGATCTGAACCCGTGCCAGTCTGGCTCCAGACTCTGCTCTTCCCGCTCTACCCTGCTGCCATCTTGGCAAACGTATTATTTAAAAAATCTGGGTTGATAACTGACTATGAGGAAGAGATTTTATTCACTTCATAGAAGGGCTATTACAGGATTCCTTTAGTCCTTTTTCTTATTCCTTTAAGGTGGTCAGGTTTTCAGAAATTTGCTAAGCAACTGGTGGGTACCACTAGTTTGGTGGCCTATTGTCTTTAAATGAAAGGAGACCTGGCCCTGGTGGTCAGCAGGTGGACGTGTCCCAGCAGTTTGGCAGCCTCTGGAAGCTGGCCTGGGCCCACCCAGACCCCTGAGTCAGGAGCTGCACGCTGACAAGCCCCTGGTGATTTGTGTGCACATTAAAGTCTGAGAAGCGCCAGGCGAGGATCGTTGCTAATGATGGATAACGTGGGAGCTGTGGGTAATAAATCGTTCATCCAGCGTCAGAAAGAAGGTAGCTGGGAGGGAGGGGAGTGTGGAGCTGGGGCAAGCCTGGCCTCGCTGGGCCTGGCACTGGATCCCCAGGCCTGTCTAGTGCTCTGAGCATCGCCAATGTATGAGGCACAGCTGTAGGCTGGCTTCCTGATAAAGTGCCCGTGTCCTGGTCCCCTCGTTGGGACCTGCTGGGTCATGTAGAGGCACTGAGAGGTTTGGAACCCAAGACTGAATCTGAGGGTTCACCACTGGTTTTCTGTGACCACCACTGAGTCCCCAACGTGTCTGCATCTGGTTCCTTTTCTGCAAAATTGTGAACACAGAATTGCTGCCTGCTACAGCTCCTCTAAGGCCTTGATTCAGGTCCTGTCTCGCCTGCT